CAAAAAAAAAAAAAAAAAACTAAAATTTAGGGCCGGGCGCGGTGGCTCGCGCCCATTATCCCAACACTTTGGGAGGCCGAGGCAGGTGGATCACGAGGTCAGGAGATCGAGACCATCCTGGCTAACACGGTGAAACTTTGCCTCTACCAAAAATACAAAAAAAATTAGCCGGGCGTCGTGGCGCTCACCTGTAGTCCCAGCTACTCGAGAGGCTGAGCCGGGAGAATAGCTTGAACCCCGGAGGCGGAGGTTGCGGTAAGCCGAGATCGCGCCATTGCTCTCCAGCCTGGGCGGCAGAGCGAGACTCCGTCTCACAAATAAATAAATAAATGTAATAATCCGATTTCACAGCGATGCTATGCGACTTCGGCCCATTCACGTGCAAAGATCTTCAGTAAACACCAATCCGCCATCCTGGTGAGACGCCAGCGGTCTGGTTGCGGGAGGGCGGGGTCGAGGGTATTTAAGCTTCTGGAAGTCGCTTTTTCAAAGGACCCAGTGGATTTGGGGACTTGGAGAGATCCGCGGCCTCATTGGCTTCAGGACCTGCCCATCATCACGGCGCTTTAGCCAACCAGGTCCCGCAGGGGGCGGACTGTGACCCTGGCCTAGGTTCCATAGGCCTCGCCACTGCTGAGCCCCCGCTGCTCCTCGGGGAATGGCTGGTATTGTGGTTGGGGGTCCAGTCTCTGGAGTGGGTTTGGGCTTGACTACTTGTAATCGAGCTGAAGAAACTGCTCCCTCAGCTTCACCTTCCTCAAGTGTAAAACAGGGGCCTGAATAGTGGCTCACGCCTGTAATCCCAGAACTTTGAGAAGCCGAGGCCGGTGTATCATACACTTGAGGTCAGGAGTTCAAGCCCAGCCTGGCCAGCAGGGCGAAACCCCGTCTCTACTAAAAATACAAAAATTGGTCAGGCGCAGTGGGAGGTTGAAGTGGGCGGATCACAAGGTCAAGAGATGGAAGACCATCAAGGCCAACAAGGTGAAACCCCATCTCTAAAAAAATAAAAATAAAATTACGCGGGTGTGGTGGTGGGTGCCTGTAATCCCAGCAGCTACTGGGGAGGCTGATACAGGCGAATTGCTTGAACCCCGGAGGTGGTGGTTGAAGTGAGCTGAGGTTGCACCACTGCACTCCAGCCTGGATGACAGGGACGAGACTCCATCTCAAAAACAAACAAAACAAATCAAACAAAAAAAACAAAGGCCAAGCGAGGTGGCTCATGCCTGTAATCCCAGCACTTTTGGAGGCCAGATTATGAGATCAGGAGTTTCAGACCATCCTGGCTAACATGGCGAAACCCCGTCTCTACTAAAAATACAAAAAATTAGCCATGCGTGGTGGCACGTGCCTGTAGTCCCAGCTATTCAGGAGGCTGAGGCAAGAGAATCGCTTGAACCCGGGAGGTGGAGGTTGCAGTGAGCCGAGATCATGCCATTGCACTCCAGCCTGGGCGACAGAGACTTGTCTCAAAAACAAAAAGAAAAAACAAGAGAAGAAAATAAGTAAAACAGGAATGCCTCCCAAGTGCCAAATCTAATAAAGCCACAGGAGTTATGACACTGTGCCATCACCCCGGAATACACAATCAGAACTTTGGCAAAGAATCCAGAGCCTCCAAAAGACCCAAAAGAGATGGCATTTGTCTAATGCAGGGTTTCCCAATCTTGGTCCTAATGACATTTGGGGTTGGCTTATTCTTTGCTGTGGGGTCTGTCCGGTGCAATGCAGGATGATGATCACCCCTAACCTCCTTCCACTAGAAGCCAGCAGCACCCATTCACCTCCAACATGCGGATTAAAAATGTTAATCGGCAGAAGCTGCCAATGGACACCATTGCCCCCCCGGTCTAAACTAAAGATGGGACTCACAGACCAGTGGGGAAAGGACAGAACAGAGGGAAGGATTTCATCCCTCCCCGCCTCCCCCATAATTCACACAACCTGCAGATAGGCCTGGATATGTATGCACCAGAATAAAATGTAGGTGGGGTGCTGGGGCTCACACCTGTAATCCTAGCACATTGGGAGGCCAAAGTGGGAGGATCACTTGAAGCCAGGAGATTTTTTTTTTTTTTTAATTTTCTTT